GGCCTGCAGGGGAGTGCAGTTGGGGGCAATCAGGCCAGCAGGGGAGGGCAGTTGGGGGTGACCAGGCCAGCAGGGGAGGGCAGTTAGGGGCGATTGGGCCAGCAGGGGAGCAGTTAGGCGTTGATCAGTCTGGCAGGGGAGTGGTTAGGGGGTGATCAGGCTGGCAGACAGAAATGGTTAGGGGCAATCAGGCAGGCATGCAAGAGAGTGGTTGGGAGCCAGCAGTCCCAGATTGTGAGAGGAATGTCCGACTGCCTGTGGGATAGGGCCTAAACTGGCATTTGGACATCCCCCAAGGGTCCCAGATTATAGATGGTGCAGGCTGGGCTGAGGGACACCCCCCATTGCACAAATTTTGTGTACTGGACCTCTAGAATACATATAATCTACTGTGGTAATGAAGACAATGCATGTTTGATTTGATTATCCATATAAATATTAATAAGAAAATAATGTTACTTTTCTTTTTCTCTTCTTACTTTTCTTTCTTCCTTCCTTTATTTTATTTTTTATTTGTTCAGGTGGTTGGGTTTTTGGTGGGTCAGAGAGAGTTAAAAGAGGAGATAAGGAAAGAAAAAAAATAGAGAAGAATTTCAAATTCTTTTGGAAACTATAGATTGTTCTTTTGTTCTGCCCAAAATAAAACTATATCTTTCCTTTGGCAGAAAAAAAGTAGTCAAACCATTAAAACAAATCTTGTGAAGAATAGCATGACTAATTTTTATCAGGCTTATGCACCGGTGGTAGGTAGCTCTGACCTTGTGGTCACCACCTGCAGTGAGGAAACCTGGATTTTGATCCAGTCTAGTCCACTAATCAACCGAGAAATCCTGGGCAGGCCGGCCATCTCCCTAAAACTTGGGATTCTCATTTGTAAAGTGAAGGGCTTAAATTCCACAATGTTGGAGGCTCCTCCTGGTATTTTAAAAATTATTATTCATTAATGAACAGTTGATGTACAATATTATATTAGTTTCAGGTATAGGACACTGTAATTTCACATTTGGATACCTTACCTGTGAGCACCATGCTAAGTCTAGGATGACCTAGTGATATTCTCCTTAGTCTATAAACACAAGGCTAAGTCGTTTCCAAATAGGACTGAGCTTGTCCAACAGCAGCTGAATGGAAATAGATGAGGTGCTTCCATCACACCTAAAGGCATGGATCTTTATCTGCCTGTGGGTGTGGTAAGGTAGGAGGTGGCCTTTATGTTATCAAGGACAGCAGTAAAGATGGGAGTAAATGCCCTGACCAGTTTGGCTCAGTGGATAGAGCGTCGGCCTGCGGACTGAAGGGTCCCAGGTTCGATTCCGGCCAAGGGCAGGTACCTTGGTTGTGGGCACATACCCAGTAGGAGGTGTGCAAGAGGCAGCTGATCGATGTTTCTCTCTCATCGATGTTTCTAACTCTCTATCCCTCTCTCTTCCTCTCTGTTAAAAATCAATAAAATATATTTAAAAAAAAGATGGGAGTGAAATCATTTGTTGAAAAAGTGGAGAATAATATATTATATATGAATTGGGTTAGCATTCCTTAAATAGCCTTGTAATGTCATCTGATTTTTGCAATAAATCTTTTAGGATTTATTGAATGGACTTTTTAAGAGCATATTTTGAAAACATTCTTCTATGACACTGCATTCTGTATTCATGAAGTATGAGACATTTTTGGAAAAAATGGTCTTTGGGAAAATAATTATGGTCTGTCTCAGGTTATGTATTCAATTGGAACCCTGAGTTTTAGTCCCTCAGTATTTTTCTCCTAAATTTCAAACATTTCTCTCCCTAACCAAATTTCTTCACCCTTTCCTCTTCCCTCATGTAAATACACACATACTTTTAGAAGAATTGACTGATATATGAGTGTAGCCTAAAATTTAATGGCAACATGGAACGGACTATTTAAAACCTGCAGGTGGAGCAGATGGGGCTTTGATTCTCTCCTTCCCAGCCATGTGTTTGGTGTGATGTTGGTCCAGGCTCAGTAAGAATGCCAATCACAGAGCGGGGAGAAATGCCCTAGGCAATGTTGTCCTCGCTCCCTGTGTGTGTCTTCACCCCTTTATTTTTCCCCCATTTCGTGTTCTCCTTCTCATCTGGCGGATTGTAAACCGTTAGTGCCAAAGAGCTATTGGTGACACTAATTCTTGGGCAGGCTTTGTGACATAGAAACAAGATCCCAGAAATAAATTTGTTGAAATGGTTGTTTTCAATTGGAGCAGATATTAAAGGTGATTCATATGCCACTTCCATTCCATTCTGTACTTTTTTCTTAAAGGGGTTACCCATCTATTTTTATTCCATCTTAAAATGCTTCTATGGCTGCATCTGGCAGAGATGATCCCCTGTTAGACAACAATGGAGATAACACTTAGTGCATTGAGTTCAGTACCTGGAGCCACCGAGGCAATAGCAGCGCCCAGTCAGAAGGGTCATCTCCTAGGCCGGGCCTCCTGAGACTTTCCACTACCCCACACTGTCCCAAATCATGAGTTAAAAACAGCAAAAACAAACAAACAAAAAACTAATCATTGCTCTCATTTATGCTACAAAAGTTTTCTTCTGCTTTAAGAATAACCCACGTGTCTAAAAAGAATGTACACTTTTGGATTTAGAATGGTTATATGGATACCCTATTAACTCCCAGTGACTGGACAATTTAATTTAATTTAATTTAATTAGAGGACTGGTCTATTCACAATGTAGGTGACGCCACGTTTGCTTCTGTGACATGGAGATGACAGAGGGAACTACCTATTAGCTGGGGGCAGGGAGGTCTTTCTCTCTTCCGATTTGAAATCTTCCCCCTCTTATTGTCTAGAAATAAGAAAGCGAAACTTTGGCCATGGTCTCCAGCAGCCACTGCTCCACTGCACAGGGTCCAGAAGGCAGGGGTCCTGGGATGTCTGTGGGCCCTCCCGTGAGCACAGATTGTTTCCATAAGGAAGGGCAGTGGGCAATGGCAGCTGGTGTCCGGGCCAGCGGCTTCGGGGGCTTCTCTCTGCCCCTGGCAGTGCCTTGTGAAGGAGGGACCTCGCAGGGCTGGGGGAGAGACAGATCTGGGTGGCTGGATAGGGAGTGCCCATTCACTGGCTTGGGGGTGATTTTGGTGAAATTCCTAAACTTTCCCATCAGTTCATTTACTTCTTTACATCGTTATATTTCATAATAGTCTCTGAACTTCTTGAGCTATGACATTTAATTGTTCTTAAATCCCCAATTCCTAACCAAGGTCAAGCATAAAGTAGGATCTTATAAATACTTGTTGGACTGAATTACATTGAAATGATTAGGTCACTTGTAGTTCTACTTAGGGGAAAATAGGGTAAGGGACATGATACTAACAAATGAACCTAATAAAAATGGTAGCACAGTTTTATGCAAATGACATGGTTAAGAAACACAAAAATGCTATAATAAATATTGTCTTTTACCTGCGAAAGATCTTCAGTTTGCTTGTGAGACTGTTGTGCAGGGCTATGAGTTATTGGGAGCTGTGGGAGCAGTGCTATTTGAAAGCGGAGGATGACTGTGACTGGCATGTGACTGTGCACTAACTGGGACCCTCCGTGGTGTCTGCTGCATGCGCCCGTGCACCTGTGCGTGGAACTGTCCTGTGGGGCTCCGTCCACTCCGGGTCCATTTCCGCACTCACCTGCTGTTCTCTGACAATAAAGCAGGCGTACACAAGTACAAGGTCTGCATTATGTTTAAGTTGTTTCCCAATGAATAGTGTAAACGGTTTTCACTTCCAAACAAGTGTCTTGGAGGTGGGTATGCACCTTCTCTCACCTGCATCTTCGCCGAGAGGAGTGGCCGGAGCTCATCTTTCTCTTCGGCATGACCCTGTCTGCTGAGGGGCCCCGGCTGTGGTTTCTGTTATTCCCCTTTGGTGAGGATCTGGCTCTGCTCTGGGTTGGTCCAATAACTCAAAATGTTTTTCAAACATTTGTGTTGGGGAAAACTCAAAATATGCTTTGCCAGTTGATTTTTAAACACATTTCACAAACAGAAAAAATAACCCTTGTGTTTCTCATTAATGTTCCTGTGATTTGATGAAATGCTGCCCCCTCAGAATTTTCTGGATAAATAATCAGCCTCAGAATTCTATATACATTTTCTTTAAAAAATGTCAAATTGACTTTTGATGAAAGCCATTAATGCCATGGAATTTACCTTTAAACTGAATAACACATTCACAATTTGTTTTGTCTGAAGTCTGTCTAGATTTTATGAAGTCATTTTGCAATGTCCTACAAGAGCAATAGTAAACAAAATGGAAAAAAATAAAACAGGAAAAGAGTTTTTGTACTGATATGTGAATGCCTTCTTTCCTTCCTTTCCTCCTTCCCTCCCCATTCCATTCCTTAAACAGACTTTATGAAAAGCCTAATATGTTCCAGATACTTTGTTAAGGTTCGCAAAGAGCATGTCACCTCTTGGAGGATACACACAGATGAATAAGATACTACACACCTTTTAGATGACCAACATGCCATGCGAAGAGCAGCATACTCTACACGAGACTGGGTGGTCAGGGCATGAGAGACAATCTGGGAGAACATATCTATGTTGCTGTTATTGAGAACACGCCTCTGTCCCACTGTGTTCCACATTGTGGCTGCATCAAAGACACTTTAGAAAGCATACCTACCATATTTAGGGAAGGCTGGACCGGTGACTTCTGAAGTGAATATCACATTATAGATTGTGCAAGATCAGGACTGTTCTCTATTACTTTGTGCAATTAAAAGTAGGAACTCATTTTCCAAAGACTTTCACACAAAGGCTAATGAGAAATTCTCAATTATTCTGTCCTTCTAGATACAACTATTTCAAGGGTTCCCGTGGCCTGAATATGAGAGAGTAGTTCAACAATGCTTTCCCTTTTAAAACTCTTCCTTCTTACAAAATAAGCTCAATAGCTATAACTTGAGGCTTTACTGAAACAGTTGACTCAGGAATGGATAGATAATTGGGTTTTACAATTAGACAAATATGGGTGAGAATTCTGGCCACACTATTTTCTTGTGTTGTGATGAAGTATGGTAGCAATCATCTCAGGAAGAAACTATAGTTTAACTTTAACCCTGATGTTTGGCTTCTGTGCTTATTTGCTTTGTTTAACAATAGAAAAGTTACTTTGATTTTCTGAACTTATGTATGCGATCCCATTGTTTGTGATCTCACTGGTTTTAGAAAGCACATTCTTCTGTACCTGGGAACCAGGACTGCACAATTGTCCTAAATTGCCTCAGTGGCTCCAGATAATGTGTTTCTGTCAACTCAGTGGCCCCAAGACCCATGGCTCCAGGCAATGTGTTTCCGTTGATTCAGTGATCCGGAGACCCAAAACTATAATTTAACTAACATGCTCAATTCTGCTTCCATAACTGGTTTGTGCAAACCAGGTTCCTCATTCCAAACCCAAAGATGTAATCGATACCTTTGTGATTTTTGCCTATATAAATCTGGTGTTGCGGCCATCTTATCACTACGAGATTTGAGAGAGCGAAATGCCCCCTCGTAGTCCCGGATTTGCAATAAATGTGACTCCTTAATTCAACTTCTTGAGGCGTCCTTGTATGACTCAGGGTACATTACAACAGTGACCTTGGGCAAAATATCTTTAACATCTCTGAACTTTAGTTTCTCCAACTGTGAAGGAAACACATGTTTTTCAAGGTTGTTGTGAAGAGGAGATGAAATGGCACATGGAAATAAGCAGTGCTGGCCTCATTCAGAGCAGGTGTTAATCAATGATGGTGGGTAATGCATGATTCCTTTCTTGATGGGCTGTCTCTCCCTGATAGAATGTGCCCTCTTTCTCCTGTTGTTTCAGACAACTGTGATGACCCGCTAGCGTCCCTGCTTTCTCCAATGGCCTTTTCCAGTTCCTCAGACCTCACTGGGACTCACAGCCCGGCTCAGCTCAACCGAAGAGTTGGTGAGTAGAGTGACTGCTTCTACAACACAGCCATGGGTAAATGGAAGAAAGTGCACCTCCAGGCACAGAGAGCATGCATGAGAACAGTGCTCAGAAGGAGGATGGAAAGAGGGGTTTCAGTGGGATGAAATATGTCTCCTGGCACAAAATGAATATTCAAATTATTCTGATTCTTGTTCCCCCAACCCTCATTATTCCTCCTTGATTATCATGAGAGGCTTTTGAGAAAATATTAAAAAAAAGAAACGCACCAAACAAAAAACAAAAAAACATTTGCTTTATTTTTAGTGTTTCATATATGTTACACAAACAGCTACAAAAATATATTATTATAGCATTTTTATAAATATGCATGAAATCTAAGATTTTCCTATGATAAGTTTAATTTTTACAATTGAATAAATGTTGTTAATGTTTAAAAATATAACATGCTATTGAGTAGAAGTAAGAAAATACAAAATAAAATATATAACCCTACCAGCTAGAGATACACACAATAAAAGTTGGGTGAGTATCTTTACAATGTCTGTTGGAAATAAGAACATATGCCCCCTAACTAGCTTTTTATGTTAAATTTCTTTTAAAAGTATGATATTAGATATCTAAATGTACATATTTTAAATAAGATTTTGATGTTTGCTTTTATTTTTACATAAATATATAGTTTTATAGTTAATTTTTAAATTTTTAAATACTTAATATCTGATATTTGTATATCTAAGGAATGTTATAAACTCTTTTTCAAATTGAGAAACATAATTTTGTATGCAATTTCAATAGGTGCACAGATCAATTAGAGCTCATACTAATAATTCTTAGCTATATTTTCCCATTGATAAGTGAGACCAATCACATTAGTAAGTTTTTCAATGTTGAGCTTTGCAATCTGGAATATATTTTAACTGGTTATTACATTACTGATATTGCTTTTGTAAAGTGTAGAATGATTTAACTTGTTAACATTTTAACTTATAATTTTAATATTATTAATTATAAAATTAATTTGCTCATTTTGTTTCCATATTTGTTGTTTATTTTGTACCACATTTCTTAGGTTCTATATTTAATGGGATCAATAATTCAGAAGTTAGCAAGTTCTGTGTCTTTGTTAAAAAAGGAGTTTAAGAATATTATTTTAAAGAAAAAATAAACAATGGCCAATTATATATGCAGTGGGAAAATATTAACAATAATCTTCTACTAACACTCTCTTTGCTGAATACTCTGTGCCAAAACCTTTAGAAGGCATTCACCTGTATGAAGGTATGTAGTTTTCACAAAGATAAAATAAGGTAAGCTTACCTTTTACCTTCAGGTAGGGTTCTTGAGACTTAGAGAATTTTCATAAACTTAAAATCTGAGATAAGAAAGGGAAATGCTTGGATTCAAATCTTAGTCAACTAATTAAAAGGCTTTGCCCCTTCCAACCACATAGGTTAAAAAAAGTAAAGGGTCCTTGAAAGTACCAAATGCTGGCTATGGCATTTACTTACAAGCTCTGTAAGTGTCTACTCATCACTCACCTGCTCCCAACCCTGGGCATCTATTGGTACATTGCACCAGTATTGCCTGCCTTGCAGCATTATGTATAGAATGAGACCAGACTTGCATATGTAAAAAGACCTTTCTCATTGTAGGGTAGAGTTGCTCTGGAGCCAGGGAGCTCCACTTGTCATTTCAGGAAAAGCTACCAATCAGCAGAGTTTTAAAAAATGTTTTATTTATTGATTGACTTGAAAGAGAGAGAGAGAGAGAGAGAGAGAGAGAGAGAGAGAGAGAGAGATTAACTTTTGGTCTACTTATTTATGCATTCATTGGTTGATTCTTGTCTGAACCCTGACTGGGGATCAAACCAACAACCTTGGCATACTGGATGACACTCTAACCAACTGAGCTACCTGGCCAGGGCCCAGGTGGGCAGATTTTAATGTGGTCTCCAGCAGGGCATCCAGAGCGAGAATTTGTCTGGCAAATGTGTAGTGTTACAAAGTTATTACCACCTTGTAGTTCCTCTGCAGGTTCTGGGGAAGCTGTTAGTCTGATCACATGATAGATATTGGGGGCACAAATGTCTCTGATCCAACTTATTACAATGGTCCTAATCACAGGAGAATCGGGGTGCCTGAGCCCAGGTCAGCACAGTGATGCAGAGACCACTCTTCTTTCTCCCAACTAGAGTTTAAACTAGGAAGACCATGCAAGAGACACAGTCATGGATCTGAAATGCATTGGCCTACAACTCACATCTAGCAAAGCCCTCAGGGGTGACAGCCTTCCTTCCATTCAGCAGGAGTTAAGCACAGCTCAAGGAGATACTAGATAGCTAGTTCTCATCCAAGCATCGTGCATTTGAGTCACTTGAAAAGCTTTACTAGTAGCAGTGCCTGGTTCCATCTCCCAGCTATCTATCCTATATAATAAAAGGCTAATATGCAAATAGACCAAACAATGGAATGACCAGTTGCTATGATACGCACTCACCACCAGGGGGCAGACGCTCGATGCACGAGTTGCCCCCTGGTGGTCAGTGTGCTCCCACAGGGGGAGCGCCGCTCAGCCAGAAGCCAGGCTCATGGCTGGCAAGTGCAGCAACTGTGGCAGGAGCCTCTCTTGCCTTCGTGGCAGCACTAAGGACCCTCGGGGGATGTCTGACTGCCAGCTTAGGCCCGGGAGCAGGCCTAAGCTAGAAGTCAGACATCCCCCAAGGGGTCTCAGACAGCGAGAGGGCACAGGCCAGGCTGAGAGACTATCCCCTTCCCCAGTGCACGAATGTTGTGCACCGGACCTCTAGTAATAATAAAAGCATAATATGCTAATTAGACCTTAGACCAGAATTTCTTCCAGACAACCTTCTGGATGAAGCCGGGGCTGCGAGGGAAGCCCGGGTCCTGGGTGCCAGAGGGAAGCTAGTGCCAGCAGCCAGGGGAAGGAAGGCCTACTCTTGCATAAATTTCATGCATCAGGCCTCTAGTTCTAAAATAATTGTGTGGAATGGAACCCAAACACAGATATAGATAAAGTAAATGAATACAAGCTTTTCAGATGATTTCAAAATACAAGGGTTTCAAACCACTAGATCAAATGAATTTATGAATAACAGATCCTTCTATTAATATTTATGGAGCACTTGCTATGTGTCAGACACTGTGCTAGAACACTGACCCATACTTAGTAACAATAGGCATGAACCCTGTTCATAAAGTATTTACATGTACCAATGGCTTTTATACAGAACTGGAACACGTAACCCAAACATTTACATGAGATCACAAAAGACCCAGAAGAGCCACAGCAATCTTGAGAAAAAAGAACAAAGGTGGAGGTATCATGCTACCTGATAACAAATTATATTATAAAGCCACAGTAATCAAAACAGCATGGTACTGGCATAAAAACAGACACAGAAATCAGTGGAACAGAATAGAGAGCCCAGAAATAAACATGTGCCTACATGGTCAATTAACACATGGGTGGGCAACAGTAGTTTTACAGTTGTGACTACACAAAACACAGTTTATTCTTGTGTTATTATTTATCAATCATTATATTATTTATTTGTATTATAACTGTAAATCTACTTTTGCCCAACCCTGTACATGACAAAGGAGACAAGAACATACAATGGGGTAAAGATAATATATTTAATAAATGGTGTGGAGAAAATTGGACAGACACATGCAAAAAAATAAAACTAGAACACCTTCTTATAACAATAACACAAGAATAAACTCAAAATGGATTACAGACTTAAATTTAAGACTCAAAAATCATAAAATTCCTTAAAAAACCATAGGCAGTAAAATCTCTCATATTTTTCTCTTAGCAATATTTTTTTAATATATTTCCTCTGACAGGGAAACAAATAAAAAATAAACAAATGGGATAAACATCAACCTAAAAAGTTTTTGCACAACAAAGGAAACCATCAACAAAACCAGAAGATAACCTACTGGATGGAACAACATATTCACCAATAATACATTCAATAAGGAGTTGTTACCCAAAATTTATAAAGAACTCATGCAACTCAAAACACACACACACACACACACACACACACACACAATTAAAAAGTAGGCAGAGGACTGAGGAACTGAAAGTTACTTATCCAAAGAGGACATGCAGCTGGCCAGTAAATGTATGAGAAACTGCTCAACATCACTAATCACCTGAGAATGCAAATTAAAACCACAATGAGATCTTATGGAAGGAAGGTCCTCAAAAATAAAAAATGAAACTGACTGTGACCCCGTGATTTCACTTCTAGGTATATATATGAAGAGACCCAAAACACTAATTTGAAGGGATATGTGCACCTTATGTTTATTGCAGTGTTATTTGCAATAGCTAAAATATGGAAGAAATCCAAGTGCCATCAATAGACAAGTGGTTAAAAAAGTGGTGGTATATGTATACAGTGATGTATTACTTAGCCATAAAAAGGAATGAAATTTTACCATTTGCAACAGGGTGGATGGAGCTAAAGGGTATTATGCTAAGTGAAATAAGTCAGGAAAAAATGGCAAATACCTTATGATTTCACTTATATGTGGATTCTAAAGACAAACAAGCAAACATAATAGAAGCAGACTCATAGATGCTAAGAACAGACTGATGTTGGCCAGAGGGGAGGGAGGCTGGGTGCTAGGTGAAGGGATTAGGAAGTACAGATTAGTGGTTACAAAATGGACACAGAGGTATAAGGTAAAACATAAGGAATGTAGTCAACGAAATCATAATATCAATGCCTGTCGCCAGGTAGGTACCTGAAATATTAGGGGGAACACTTTAAAGTATATGATAGTCTGACCACTATGCTGTACACCTGAAACTAATACAGAATAATATTGATGTAAACAGTAATTGAAAAAATAAAAATTTAAAAATCATTTACATGTATAATGCAAATTACTATGCAATTAATTAATAGCTAACAGTAATAATATTAATATTTTGTTATATATACAATATAAATTATGTGCATGTACATATAAACATAT